ATCCGCGAGTGCTGCGTGCTCCCTGGCTCCTAAGCACAGGTACCGGGCTTCACTTAGGGAGGCTCGGATAGTGCGTGAGGGTACCATGTGTATCACATCAAGTGCCCTCCAAACGGGCCACGTGTTAGATGCGCTGGACCAACACGGGGGCCACATCGGACTTTTGCAGGCGTTATCTGTGCGCAATACCAAATGCCAACATTCCCGGGGTGCGCTGGCGGACCCTGTTGTCGGCATTCGTCGCACAACTGGACCACTGCCTCCACCCCATTGTTTTGTGGTCAAAATCCTGGTCTTGGTGTGTGGACCAGGGGTGCGGAGTGGAGCGCCAAGGCGAAGACCCGTCCGAGCCATCCACCTGCGGCCTCCCCCGTCTCCGGTCTTCTTGACTCTGTCTTGACACCGGGCCCAGGCGGGGGAGGAGGAGAGAGTGTAGGTAGATGCTACGCAAGTCTACTGGCACTATAAACCCCTGCGTAAGTCACCGTCCCTGCTCCCACAATGCAGTCTGTGGGGCACACGGTGGTCATCGTCGAAATCGACGGACGAAATGTCGTATCACATCAAGGAATCATTTCAGTCTGACCCCTCAGTCGTGAAAAGGACCGAGTTATTTCATGCACAATTAGTGCGTCCGGTTGCTTGTAGTGTGGAATTAACAGCTGAATCCAAACCAGGCCTGTTTTTCACACTTGTGCCCTAGTGGCTGGCGCGGCTTAAAATCGTCGAATACGAAGTGCCACATGCAAACCCCAATCTTTCATAAGTGGAGGCTGCGACAAATGCCACAGCAGGGTGGATGAGGGCTGTGAGCCAAAATGTATGCGCATAAATTTGTCGCTGGGCGCGGGAACTCAAACTCCCGGATTGTCACACATACTTAGGAGGAATGGCACATCCTTAACTTCGTCGAGGAAGAAACGTCCGGTAGAGAAGTTACACAAATCGAACAGCCTGGCTCTCGAACATTTAATCCAGCTAGCAACCCTTGAAAGTCCAATATGAACTAAATTATGCAGACTTGTGACAAAGAGGATGCTACTAAATAAGCACTATATTCACAAATGTAAACTACGTCAATGGGACGGGCAGACTAACACCCAAATAGGAGCAACATAATCCGTCGAAGCCGATGAGTCAACTATCAAACCACCATCCCCTGCACACGCGCAATCGCCAAACTCCAATATGTCTGCCGATCAACGCGGTCAGATCATTATCGCATCATTACAACGAACGCAATTCCGATGGTCAACAGTTGGGCAGCCACCATATCGCGTAACAAGGTGGCCAATCCGCTGTCACAACACCGATCTTCCGTGAGTTTGCAGCTTTTGACGATGGATCCACATCCCCGGGAGTTATGATTTTTTTAAAAGCGCATCACAGAGCTCGGTCTTACCTCCTTAGCTCAATAAAAACATGACCTGCTTACTGTCCTGGAATTGTTGAATATGCTTGCCCGCGTTTCCTTCAAAGGCTATCAAGAATTATTGCAAAGCTTTTATCACTGGCGGAACACAGCTCCTTTCCTCCGTGCCGTCAGCAAAACATGCCGCCACAATAGCGTAACCCTATGGGGAGCGATGTCGAGCTCAGAAGCAAGCGAGGTGCAACTAAAGGATCCTCCGTGGTGGATGAGTTCACCTTCAGTAGAAGACGGTGTCGACCGTTGACAAGAGTCATCGTCCTGCCGTTCCGAATTATACTCGGACTATCATAAGAGGTGGATATAAAGGTGTACAAGACGCGATATTCGTGAGATGAGTTTCCTACAAGGGCGCACGTTCATTGACCAACAAGACAGGCTTGGCTTACGGACAGACGCGTCTCTATCGTCGGCTGGCAGTTTTTGTAATTTTTACCTGGAGTTCTCTGTCTCAGTTCTTTCTTCTGAAGTAATCTTTGGCCCTGCGCCGTCCCATAATTAACTACCTTGTCCAGAGAGCTGTAAAACCGCGCTGGCTACGCTGTTTGGTCTGTTAGTTCAGGGCTGGACAAGTATATCCCCCGTATCTGGGACCGATACGATTTACAGCAGCTGGAACAGCGAATAAACAGTCGTGGGCCATAAAACGGGCATTATGGAAAGCTGTGGCTATGGACTAATCCACCAAGTTAACTACTTACACGACGCCCATAACAGGTCCCTGAGAGTAGTGGGTAGGTTACGTGAAAAAAAAAATACTGAGACTGGAAAACACATTCCAGAGTGACCGATTAACGGAGACGATCGAACAGTAGGTGAACCAGATCATTAAACCAAACACAGGTCCGCGGAACGTAACGTCAAAGTGTAAACGCTCGCCAAGACTGACGTAGAGGCTTGTTCGTGCACAGCCTTTACAGTCACTTGGGATATCTGATTGAAGCGAACAGGCGAGTTCCAGGTAGCAGTTCAGAAGATAAAGATGTGATCACTGGAACAAGAAATTTATTGGCCTGACGTATCAAATTATCACTTGAGACAATCGCAGATAAGGGTAATGGTGGCACAAGGAGTGCGATATTGATAGCATGTGGCCGCCGTGGCACCACATGCGTACTGTAATTAACAGCTCTCGCAATCACCGCTGGGTTCGTAATTGATGCGGTGTCTCTGATGATGGATTCGATTGAGAATCCGAAACGTCAGGCCGATAAATTTCTTGTTCCAGTGATCGCATCTTCATCTTCTGAACTCGGGATATCTGTTGGTTGTTTACAGTCTGTAGACTTAAACAACAAAAGGAGAAAGAGCCCTCAGTATATGGTTTGCTGCGGTGTTTACGTTGGTTAATGAACTCGGACCAAACTGGGCCAAGCAACACAGAAAAGTTGAAGACCCATGGATGAGTATTAGGCCCAAATTTGACCTGTGCAGAGCAGGGCCCGAAGGCTGGGGACGTTTCGATCAAAAACTTACTCACCAGGATCGCTGATTCCAGTTAGTGCTTGCAAAATAAAGCAGACACGTCCACGTCAGTATGGTGAAGTCTCGCGTTGGTGCGAACAATGAACTCTACCTAGACTTTAATGGTTAGGAGCTGTCACATCTGCCACATGGCTGGGAACTCCATCGATCGAATTGAAGTCTTCTACCGCAGAGAACATTGATAAAATGCCGCAAGTTGCGCAGATAGTCTTCGCTGACAGTTGATTTCCCATCAGAGTCGGTTACTTGCGTCACTACCTCAATTCGTGAGATAACTGTATACGCATACCGAGCCGGAAAAGCAAACGCTGACTAGAACTTGGCAACTGGGTTCAGCTACCACAACACGCCCGAAAGCCGACACACAGACCTGGTAGTCATCGCATTGCGATTCCAAAGTATTTATGATAAATTAAGGACGGGGCCTCAAGGAATAGGATCCCAAGTTTAGGGGTCTATTGGTCTACGGGTGCACCTCGGTGCGTTCTCCAGTTGCTGCATGGTCGTCAGCAGCCAAAAACAGTTCTACAGTGGGACCTCACACAGAAACTACTGGTTGCATTGGTCCCCAGTCTCCTTGGAGGGCAAAGGGTTTGGTAACCAAATACAGTTACCATTCCCTCCAGGACTTTCAGCGTAGACTTCTCAGAACCATGTCAGAAATTCAATACAGTCGCTGATCCTATTCAAACATGCCCGTACCTACGTCCAGGGAGCCCTCCGCAGAGCTGACGCCAATACGCTAGATAACCGGCGATGATTACGTTGACAACGAGCGGTGCACTGGTTAAAAGTTGACTTGGAATATATTGTGACGCCAGTTGTCGAACCTACCGTAGACGCAGATAAAAAGCACTACCAAGCTACAGTTATCATCGGGCCAGTGTAGTTAAGGGAAGCCGGACCGAAAAAGACGGTAGAGCATATGCCGGTACCATTTGGCCGCCAAACGGAATGAAAGCGACAGCATTCCCCGAATGTACGGTGGTGGCCGTTGGATACCCTTATCGTCGTAAAACTGAATCGATACTAAGCATTTCTCCTAATAGTTTCCCTGTAGCCTTGAGTGCTGGAATATACGTGACGGAGAAAATCAAAACAGAGAGCTGTCGTCTACCGATACTTCTTAATCATCATTCGACTAAATTAAGCAGACATGCCCAAACCGAAGAAAGTGGGCAGTTCGGACCATCTGAGAAAAACTATTAGACCAACCCGGCAAGAAGCCATCACTCTCAGTCTTGGTACTACTATCAGGAATACAGAGCTTTTCCGTCGCGATGACCGTGATTCGTCCGAAACGCGACCCGACATGGCTTCAGGTTCTAGGCATTTACTCTGAGGTCCTCACATCGAAAGTCCCACAACCACGCTTAGGTACACAATTTGAAATGCTGCCATATCACACAGGACCATAGCCGCATCATGTGTGGGCAGCGCAAGAACCAATGTGTAAATGGAACCACCGTTTAGAAAAGGATCTCTATTCGTAAACACAAAACTGTGACTTAACGCAGAGAGTTACTGATGGAAGTGATGGATAAGCGTGCAGAATGAGTAAAAGTTTGCGACGAAGTTGGATTGGAATAGAGAGTAACTCCGTTTAACTATTCAGGATTCAATTGGCATTCGATTTGAGCACACAGAAGCAAGGAGATATTAATGAGAACCCAGGTCTCGATGCCTAAAAGTTACGCAGAAGACGCATGTATTCGGCTTTTAGACAGCGATTGACAGCATCCAGGTGGTTGCACTTAATATACAGACCGCAAGCTGTGCAACACCGGAAAGGAATACGAAAATAAGCAAAGAAAACAAATTTTCTCAAAGGAGGCTGTGGGAAGTGGCCAGTTCTTCCTTGAAGATAAGAAAGAGACATCCGACTGGGCAAGCGTCGAAAGTCCTAGGAGAAGTTTTCTTGGCTCATCCTTACGACCCTCCCAACTTTTCGCTTAAATTCGTCGTAGTTTTCTCTAAATTCCTTCTGTTATGAGGAGAAAATAAACACAAGTCCTATGGCTTACTGCAGCATCAACATTTGCCGGACTGTCAGGATTGGGTTCAGCAAGCATGGAAATGACTGACATTATGATAGTCTCAACAGTGTGCACTGGAAGCCACCGTTCTTCAGGTCTTTCGTAGCCCCAACGATCTTCGCCTGGTTCATGAAGAATGGATATACATACATTTCCGGATGGGGCAATGTTAGGATGCCACATGTCAGTAACAAACTGCATCTTGGGGGGACGGTTAGGGTAATCCTGCGGGAACTCCAAAATTGCCTTAAAGCAGCCACCATCACTATAAGTTATTAAAAAAATGGTCTCAAATTACTAAAGAGTGTCAGCCGGACCCATTATCATAACTTGCCACTTGAAAATATTGTCATCATCGATAAGGCCGGCGGAAAAGCCTTCAGGGCCGCTCTTGTTGAGCTCTGAAAAGAAAATGGTTGGTAGAAATTGGAAATAAACAGGTAAGATAGATGTGAAATATTAAACGGACCAGCCAGCTGTTTTCTGAGTAGCAAGGTGGAGGCCGTGTTAGACATGCCGGGATAATCCTCGTTGACACAAGACGCGGCCGGTCGTGCGAAGCCCCAAGAAGTGTCGAACAGCGATTGGATAGCTAATGTCCTACAAGTGACCCGCCATAAATATTCCAGAATTTGCTCTCAAAATAAACAACACAGCGTGCAATAAACATCCCACCACTGCGCGGAAAAAAGCAAGTTCTAGTAAGTGATGGAGTATATAATTTATTTGAGTACCTTAGAACGTCCTACGCCAAACCCAACGCCTCGCCCCTCCTTAAACTCATCACCATCAATTTTTAGAAAAATATTATCCATCTTCTGAAGTACGGCTCTAATTTTAGCGCTCCAAATTATCGAGATGTTCGCAATACTCATCCCTCGATTGACAATTCAAGAAATTCTCTATGGTAACCATTCGACTTGTGCTTGACCAGCCAGTTTCTTAGCACTTCCCAACGTGACTTTCTGATATTCTCGCAAGACCTATAACTTGTATTGCTCTAGTCCGCCAATATATAGATCCCCTCACGTCGTCAATCGTTTCCGCGTTATCTCCGCGACCAGTTTGTGCAAAATGGCTATCCGAGGGCATTCATAAGTCGCCGCCTACGCGGTCGCCATCAGAGAACTCGAACATCAACGGCACCGAAGATATGGCATTCTCTGCCATACATCAAGGGTGCTTCAAAAGCGACCGAGCGCATTGCTGCGGAGCTAGGTGTTGGAATTGCACACCGCCCCAAGGTCACCATGCGCAATATGGTCATGAAAATCAAAGACCGGTTAAAACCTGAAGAGCAATCTGGAGTAGTGTATCGCATTCTGTGCCAAAATTGTCCTTGTAACTACACAGGACAGACTGGATGCATGCTCGGATCGCGCATACACGAGCATAAGCTGGCTGTGCGACGGGGCGAAGCACTATCACAAGTGGTCGCTCACACCTACGAAATGGGCCACGAGTTTAACTTCACAGCCACCAAAATAGTCGCTCACGCCGGAAACAAAACAGTCCGATAATTAATTGAGGCCTGAACCTCGGATGAGAACTCGGTCAATCGATCTTTCGATTTGGCGCCGGCGTGCAGAGCCCTGCGTAGTCACCTCCAGGCGTGCGACGTCGTTCGATGATTGGGCCTTCATGCTTTATAACTGCCGTTTGTCCTGTTGCTGTCACTACCTCTGACGATGGACTCCTGATGAGTTTGAAAGCTCAGGACAATAAACAAAGTGTTCCGGTGCACAAATCTTCTTCTCCACTTATGCATTCACCTGGAACTCGAAATTTCGCCTTCGTTCTCAAGCGTGTATCCATTCTCGAATCTACGGTCCGTAGTTGTCCATAAAAATGCGTGGAAATTACTCTGTTTCTTTTGAATGGTAAGAAATATATCAAGTGCAATTCTCTCTTCAAATGTCGCCTTGCGTGTCCGGGCCAGATGGATCACCACTTTCAGTGACATCTTAGGCATAGCTCTGGTTGAGTTGTTGGTTAAGAAACGCTTGGATCAGGTTATACAAATACCTTGGGTTTATCTCCTCACTATGCCAAATTTACGCCAGATTAGCCCATATTTGCGATGTCATTTCGTATAACTTTTACCTCTCTGAAATGAAATAACGATTTCATCGGCAGTTATCCTTCATATTCCCGCATATTTCTGCCCCACATGCATACTACCGAGCGAACCTAGTTGTTTTAAGATCGAAAATGTTTAAGGACATTTATCTGGTAGGTTTTTATATCTAACACACCCCTATACTTTAAGCTTTAGTCAGCTTATCTCTGATTCTATGGACTGGGAGACTGAACGTTTACTTCTCTCTCCTTCCGGTCGATAACTGCTCAAATTTTCCTCCAAATGCGAACTTTATTCCAATACTTCCTTCTTTAAACATTAGCAATGCCTCCTTGGTTATTCGTTCACGCGCTTCCGCCACCACTTAGTACGTCTTGTTCTTTGTTTTTACGTTTAACTGCCGTTAGAATGAACTGATAGTAGATATAGTTTTGAGAGAAAGAGCGAGAGAGAGAGAGAGAGAGAAGAATTTAGGGTCGACTCTCGGAAGTGCGCCTCCAAGGCATTCAGCGCGCATACCTTCCCATCAGCAATATGGCGCGATTTAAAACTATCATGGCACCCCAAAAGCCGTGTCTTGGAATGCTGGTAATTGATAGAGTAATGCGGTCGTCTCAAGACAGGGTTAGACTGCAATGGCTTATACTTAGTGTAGTACCTATGGTGGCAACACTCAGTTGGGATTTGAGCCTCCCTTTCGTAGTTCGCGTGTGAAAACGCGGTCCATCATGCGCGATTCACGAGTGTGTGGAAAGCGTAGACAAGCTGCTAAGCTTTGTCGGCCTGATCATATGCAATAAGCTACTGGATCTCACACTCGATCTCCCTCTGGCGCAACATGTGAAGGTACCAACAAGATTTCGAGAGAACCAGAGAGCAAATTGTCTAGACCTAGTTTTCACTAAAGACTTCTCTAATATCGACGAAGTGTATTCCAATGCACCTCTCGGGAAAAGTGGCCATACTACGCTACTATGGGATTACTCGCTCTTCTCTAAACGCCAGAAGAGAACAGAGGGCCAACCTAATATATGGAAGGCAGATTTTAATATGATGAAGAACGAATTGCTGTCCGTGAATTGGGACCAAATACTCAGGGGAGATCCGGAGGACGACTGGAGATCATTTTAAACGATTTCACTCGATCTGATTAGGCGCTGTTGTCCACCTAAAGTACAAAAAACAACTAGTTGACCTGCTTGGTTAACTAGAGACCTAAATAGGCAGCTACGGAAGAAAAGCAAAAGATCGAAAATATTCAGGGAAACTGCGTCACCAGCGCATTTTGAAGAATTTCGTCGTCAACGAAATGCCGTCAAAAAATGTATCCGTCAGGCACAGAAGGAGTATGAATCCAAAATTATACGACAGGCTGAACAGAAACCGAGGATTTTATTTCACTATCTGAACAGTAGACTGAAAAATAAGGACCCGGTCGCGGTGCTGAAGGATGGTAATGGTGTAGAGATCACTGAGAACAGCGAGAAAGCCGAACACTTAGGAGAGTATTTTGCCTCGGTTTTTACTAGAGAAACAGAGTTTCGCAGTCGCAGTGCCGGCAATGCTCTTGAGGCTGTTGGTCCCGTGCTTGACTCCGTACTCTTCCCTGCAGCTGCCGTGGAAAGGGAGCTGAAAAATCTCAAAGAAGCAAAGTCCTCGGGTCCGGACAATATACCGGCCAAATTCTTGAAAGAACTGGCGAATGAACTTTCCAAACCACTGGCGCACATCTTCCGCTCGTCATTCGAATTAGGGAGGTTGCCATCGGAATGGAAGACAGCAAATATCTTTGTGATATACAAGGGCGGGGCTCGCACTAATGCTAACAATTACCGGCCTGTCAGTCTAACCTGCATCTGCTGTAAAATAATGGAGGCCATAGTTAAGAAAGCAACTATGGAGTTCCTGGAGCAGGGCCATTTAATCTCAGACCTGCAGCACGGCTTTAGACAGAACCGCTCGTGTCTTTCCAGGTTATTGCTCTCGACGGAGCAGTGGACTCGCGCACTGGACGAGGATGGGAGGGTTGATGTCATATACACAGACATTTAGAAGGCGTTCGACAGCGTCCCACACAAACGCCTAATCTACAAATTTTCTGAAATTAGGATAAGAGGAACGCTGCTGACATGGATAACAGATTTTCTTACCGGGAGATCGCAAACCGTGTGCATTGAGGCCTCAAGGTCAACTCCTACTCCCGTTCTAAGTGGTAAACCCCAGGGCTCCGTCTTAGGGCCGCTGCTATTCCTGATTTACATTCACGACTGCGTCGAAGACCTGGGATGCAGCGCCATCATGTTTGCTGACGATTTTAAGCTGTGGAGACCCATCGGATCTGATGCAGATAGGTACTCGCTTCAAGACAGTCTCAACCGCCTAAACAGTTGGTCAGCTCGCTGGCTCCTCAATTTTAATGTGGACAAATGTGTGGTCCTGAGACTCCACACCAGACGGACCAGTAAGGAGGACGATTCCTTTCAATACGTCCTTGGTGGTCAGCCCCTTTCAAATGTTGTGGAACAGAAAGACCTGGGAGTCCTAATGACCTCCTCGCTGAAACCATCTTCACAGTGTCAAAGGGCAGCCAAAAGTGCGACAAGGGTGTTATTTGCGCTGAGGCGAGGATTTGTGCAGATCGACAAGGAGCTGTTCGGAAAAACCTATGGGGCATTCGTCCGGTCTCACTTAGAGTATGCAGTTCAGGCCTGGCGACCGTGGTTAAAGAAAGATTATCAACGACTGGAAAGAGTACAGGCGATGGCTAAGAAGATGGTCAAGAATCTTCATCATTTGTCTTTCAAAACCAGGCTGACCGAACTTAATCTGTTTCCTCTAAATTACAGGCAACTGCGCGGCGATCTCATTCAAACCTACAGGATTGTCAGAAGCCGTGAGTGTGCCCTAGACTTTGATGAATTTTTTGAATTGGCCCGGACTGACTGTCTGCGGGGTCATCCCTCCAAACTGCAAAGGAAGCGGGCTCATTCGGACGTCCGGCGGAACGCCTTCTCTCACAGGGTCATCGGGGCATGGAATGGACTCCCTGATGCCGTCATTCTTTCCGAAAGTGTCAAATCCTTTAAGCGCAGACTAGACGCTCACCTGTTGAGAACCTACTGTACATTCAATAATGATTGTTTTAGCGGCGGCGGTTTGCGCCTAGCTTACACTTACCGCTAACTTCTTAACTTTTCGCATTTGCTGATGTAATTGATGACTTTATTTCTGTTTATCGATATGGATAGGGAGCTCAAGGGCGAAAGCCCCATTCCCTTAATAAACTGACTAAACTGACTTAATCCTACGATCTCTACAAACCAGTTCATGCCCAAGTAGCCGTCTCTGCGCCCATCTTCCTGTGCGGTATACGGCGAACATCGCCACCACCGACGGTCTAACTGTCAGATCGTCACCTAATATCTCAGTATTAAG